TCACATCGATACTGCAGCCTTTGGACGCGTCCTTGAATAAGCCTTTCGAAGACAATGTTCGAAAGCTGCACACCACTTGGATGGCTGGAGGACAACATCAGCTGACTCCAGGTGGTAAGATTAAAAGGCCGCATGAAGATTTGCTGTGCGCTTGGATTGTGGAAGCGTGGCAGGCGATCTCCGTCGATGTCGTCAGGAGAAGCTTCAAGAAGACGGTTATCTCGAATGCACTGGATGCAAGTGAGGACGACATGGTGTCGGGTGTGGATGAATCGGACACCGAAAACGAATCCCCGCTCGGCGAGAATGAATGTGTGCTCTCCGACTCGGACTCTGAATAGGGCAAAGGAGGAACATCTACGACTGTTGTGTAAATAAATTTTACGTGTGTGTGTGCAGTTGACGGCTCTGACTTGTTCATTAAAAGGTACGTAAATATGTTTGTTTTATGCTGAATGAATTAGTAAACGATAAAGTCACCTTGTACTTGACAAATGTGCAGATTTACCGTCAAGCGCGAAAACTGAGTAAAAAAAATTTTAAATTTTACCCCACGTAATCGGTGCACCCCTAACTTCGAGCCGCATTTTCTGGAAAAAAAAAGGAAGAAGTGCGCCAATACGAGTAAATACGATAGATAGATAGATAGATAGATAGATAGATAGATAGATAGATAGATAGATAGATAGATAGATAGATAGATAGATAGATAGATAGATAGATAGATATTCCTTTGCCCTTGTTTTTTGTTTATTTTTTGCACCCTTACTCTTGAATCCTTGCCACGAAGCCAAGGCAAGGCACTTGTATACATTTGATGGACAAGTGCATTTCTATTGATATATTCTATCTCACTATACGAAAATAAAGTAGTTTTGCCGCTTTTTTCTTTCACATTGCAGGGAGAAACTGCGGACGAGTCTGACAGGCGGCGCCAGCTTTCACACTCATTTGAGGGCAGCCCTGTACTTTACGCATGCTGCGGTGATGAAGAGCCTCGTCGCCAAGTTAGGCCTAGGAAGGGCCACACCACCACTGAGAGCCGGCAATTACTGCCGCTACAGGAATCGCCGACCGTGGCGCTCCTCCCACCTTGTACCTTTCACGGCCAACTTCGCCCTGATACTCTTTCGGTGCGGCAACTCTCAGCTGAACGTGCTGCCGATTCTGAACGAGAGGGTGGTATGGCTTCCCGGATGCCGGAGCGATTTCTGCCCCCTGGATGACTTCTTGCGGTCGTCGGCCGTTCGGAGTTCCCGCAGCTGCGATCCCGAGAAGATCTGCAGCAAAGATTGGAAAGGAGGCCGACGCCCAGAATAGGGTGCACGTATGGGGACTTGCAGCTGTAAACTCAGGCACTGCGCTGTGATCCCGACTGGGTTGCAGAAATTAGGTGCCTTTTCTCATCTTCTAACCACTACCACCACCAGCTGTAAACTCTTCGAATAAAGCGCCTGTTCTCAAAGAACTTTCAATGTTTTCCCGCAATTGTTGCGGTCTGGATGGCGGTGATACAGTATAGTGAAGTGTTCTGGTTTCAAAGTTGAAACCGTTTCTACAAACTGCTCGGGGCACTCGATTTATTTTGTTAGATCATTATAAGTTCGTGAAAATCGAGGTAGGAATTTCTCGGTCATTTGAAATCTGAAATCGTAAGGTACTGTCGTCCGAAAAGCATACTGTGGTATCTTATTTGTCATCTATATACGCCTGTGTGAGTGAAAAGCCTGCGAAAGCATTGCGAGTATGATTTCTATCCACACTGGTACATTAAAAAGTTTTCAAATTAACATACCAATCTCTCTTTGCAGTAAAGCAAATAACGAATAATATCCATGAGTTTTTGCGACAAAAAGCCTTCATATGACAATGAGAGACAGCACAAAGGGAAGACTCCGGAAATTTAGACCATTAGTGGTCATATAACGTGCAGCTAAATTTATGTGCATAGACCTATAGCATTTCGACTATATACGAATGGGGCTACCGCTGCCCGGATTCCATCACGTGACCTTAGGGTCGGCAGTCAGAGAAACCACTGAACCACTATGGTGGTTCCGTATGAAAGCAGGAATACCAAGAACTAAAACTAATTATTACAAGAGTAAATAACTGGCGCTTGCCCCATGCCGTGTGTCTCCTATCCCATAGTTAGATAGTATTCGCGCTCTGCAGTTAAGTTTCCCGGCGTCCTTTTGCGCTGCACCAGTGGTTGATTTCAGCTTACTATCCTTTCAGCGACTGTTTGGCTCGGTTGTTTTTGGGCTCATTAGGCTTCCCAGAATAATCTGGCGTAATGGTCTACAGGAGCTCCAATGTATGACACTTCAGTCCGTAAAGAAATGGAGGGTGGTGCACGGATTGTCCAAGTTTCATTCCTTCTGTTCAGTTCGGCTCCATGTGGCCTGCGCAGGCTGCATCCACTTAAGTCGTAAGACGAAGTCCAGAAAACGTTATATCATTCCGCTTCATCACCTTAATCTCTTTAGCCTCACCAATTCAAATCGACTCGCAAAGTCTACGACGATCCGTTCTTTTATTCGAAACGAAAACCAAAACACTTATAAACAAAGCCGCAAGCGATTTTGAAGTCACAGGGACAAAGATTAGGCGAATCAGTGTACTATACCCATCATTCCAATGGGGGCTGAAGTACCGTTACCGTTCCTATAGACACTATAGAGCCAGTGTTCCTTTTACTGGATATTGCAGGAAACCAGAAACAACTGAAGGCAACGCCAGAGTCACCTCTGCAACTGCAGGAAAAGAGGGTATGTAGCGTTATCACTCGCTCGCTCGATTCCGTGCCGACCGGTTGTGCACCCGCGATCTCCGACGACAGCGCAGCTCTGGCCGACCGGCTCATCCTCCGCCATCTCCTGACGCCGACAAGAGCTCTCGCTGAGTGGTGCCCCGTCCTGGGACTCCTGCGACCGTGTCCATCTTTCCTATCTTCTCCTTACTTCTGTATTCGGGTCTCTCTGTACCTTCCCCTATCTCTATCTCTATACCTTTTAATCCTCTCTATCCGTTTAATCCCTTTTTACCCCCATCCCTCGTGAGCCACTGTTGAGGTGCCGCAGTATGATGCAGACAGTTACGGGGCTCACTTTTTTCTTCTTTTCTCTCTTTTAAGAGTCACCCCCCCCCTCCTCCTCCGCTTTGTGCTGCACTGTGCGCGATGTTCCCTGCCAGGCTATCAAACCGAGCAATCTGAGCCTTTTCTTCGCCCCTTTAATTCCTATCTCGGAAAATATTTCACTAATTAGTTCTAGATGCTGATTAGTAACTCCACTTCATCCAGATAGCGCTCGTGATTCTCGTCTCCGAGTTTGACGTTACGAATGATGGGGATTTATTTACAGATTAGTGCTTAATGAAATGATGGTTCACCGTGGAAGGTGCTGAAAGCAATGGCTCGCAGTCGAGTTCATCGTTCCACTATGCTACCACTTCACATCGATAAAATGTTTCAGTGCCGTCACGCGCTCACTTTCGGGGCAACAGCCAATTACTCATACGTGACGCGTTGCGCGAGAGTCTGAATCTTCGAGAGCTGTTGTTGTATGGACAGTGCACGAACATCGAGCAGTCTCGAAACTTCGCATGAGCGCTACTGCACACGAAACGTCTACGTGAACTCGAATGGCGGAACATGCTCTTCGGACATGATTTCTCTGAAAGCCTATCAAACTTCCTGGCAAGTACCCGCTCGCTGACGACGCTCAATATAAACTTGTTTTTCACGCACGAGGAACACGCTGTCATTTTCATGCGGAGACTCAAGCGAAACAAGACACTCGCTTCACTGTCGCTCAAGACGTCTGTACTCAGCCCACTCCACGGGGGCCGGCCAAGCTTGGTCCCGCCACGGTGCGCCGTCATCTTCAACGACTACCTCTAGAAGAACCAGACACTGCGCACCCTGAGTGCCAGGACAGCCATCCACGGCTGCTTTATCGCTGTTCGTCCACTGATCCGTGCGCTATTCGGCAACAACAAGCTAGACATGCTCAGCCTCACTCGACGACATGCAGCGCATTACGCGGCTGCTCAGCCAGAACCGGACCTTCACGAGCTTCAACCTCATCTTACGTTTGTGTGGCGAAGTGCCCAACAAGATACACTTCTTTCTGGTGGCAAGAACAACATGTTAGTAGGGGTCCCCTTGGGTCCATCGTTCATCCAGCACGAGTACAAGTCTTTTTTCGGTGCCCTCGCGTCTAACGCGTCTCTGAAAAAGGTGAGCGTCGAGTGGCTTCCAGAGTTGGACGTCGTCGATACGTTCCGAGCCATGCGCAAGGCCGGAGTACAGGATCAACTTCTTCTTCGGTGAGCATGGAGTCCTTCATGACACCGTGGTTGCCCTCAAGGAGTGCAAGGAACTTTAGAGCGTGAGCCTAGACTGGCACAACTTCCATGGGCTTGAACCATTGCTGTTCGTCCTGGAACTCCTTCCTTTGTGTGGTCTTGTGACATCGCTGCGTCTTTCAGTTCATGTTAAAAGTGGCAGTGTGAGCTCCTCGATAGCACAGTACCTTATGGGCACGGCCACACTCAGGGAGCTGGACCTGTCTTTCCACGTCAGCAGCAGCAGCAGGGACACTTTAGACGAAGCGATCGAGGCGGGAACTGCAGCACTGTCCGTCAATGAGAGTATACGCTGGCTGAAAATATTCGACCCCTGCTTTGACGAGACTGAAACCGCTATGCTGGCGGACATGTTACAGACGAGCCGGGCTCTGTGCTACGTGTACCTGCATGAAGGCTACCGCGAGTCGAGTAACTCTTCGCTGATCGGAAAGCCGTCGCCCACCGTCTCGAGCAACTACTGCCTCCTGAGGTTGCACGTGGGCATGCTGTGCATGCGCAGCGATGACTGGTTTACCGTCTACGACGTCGAAACAATTCCTAGCTTTAGTTTCACATTGCACGAATATGGCTCCTGGGCTGAAAGAGCTCCTGAAAACCGATCGGAGCATGATGCATGCATGGAAACCGTGAGGAGGTCGCACGTCAGCTTTCCCTCCTGCCGTTTTGTCAGCGCCAAGAGCTCCCGCAGCAGCAGCAAAAGCAACCACCGACACCGTTAGCTCCCATGCTCCGACATGCACTTCAGGACCAGATTACCGAGGCTATGCCAGTGCCCTTTCAGCAGCAAGTTGTCGCCGCGCCTCTTACTTATGCTGACGCAGTAAAGAGGCAGCAGCCACACCAGCCCTCGCCGTTCAATGGACTGCCGCATGTCACCGCTCCTACTCAGTCTTCCGTCGCATGGGCTCCTCCCCTCGCTACCACAGCCTCGACTCAGCCGTATGCCGCGTGGGCGGCGCCCCTTGCTACAAATGCCTGGCGAACGCGCGATAACCGGCCGATTTGTTTTGCGGTGCGGCGGACCTGGCCATATCTCCCGATACTGCCGTCGTCGCGTGCCCGCCTACACAGACGTCCGACCACGAAGCAATTACATGGACCGACCACCTTTTGGTTATGAAAGTTCGGATCGTCAGTCAAATACGTCTTCCCGTGACTATCCGGCAACTTCGTCTCGTCGCTCACCTTCACCCAATCGACGCTCCTTGTCACCCATGCGTCCACGACCAGCCCCTCAAAATTAGGGAAACTAGCCGTCGCAGTTCAAGGGGCAAGAACTGTGCTATCGAAATGTTCAAGTCCTCGCACCTTGCCGTCAAATATCGTCGAAGTTTTTGTAGACGGCGCCCATGCATACGCTCTTGTGGATACCGGTGCCGCTGTGTCTGTTATAGACGCCAAACTTTGCCGCAAGCTCCGAAAGGTGACCACGCCACTTGATATGTTCTTACGTGCAGCAAATGGAGAACCTGTTCGACCTATAGCCGCCTGCACTGCCCGACTCAAGATTGCGGAGGACCACTACATTGTTGAGTTTATCGTCCTTTCCTCGTGCTCTCATGACGTCATCCTTGGCTGGGATTTCCTATCCCGTAATCGTGCCGTTATAGATTGTGCCCGTTCCGAACTTGAACTGCTTCCGTTCTTCGAGCAGCCCTACGACCACACTAATCAAGCCGCGCACAAGCTAGTTGTCCAAGAAGACACTGACATTCCACCGACAACAGCTGTTTTGCTCCCTGTGGTCTCCGACGGCATGCGTGATGAAGTAGCATTTTTCGAGCCATCACGCCTCTTTCTAAGTCGGAAACCACTTCTGCTCCCTTATTCAGCCCTCTCAATTTCTAATGGAGCCAGTGCTCTCTGCCTTACTAATCCCTTTCCGCATACCATCAAACTGTTTAAAGGCGAGTCTCTTGGATGCGTACAGCCCATTGATAACGGACAAATTTTTACCGTGCCGCAAGAATCATCCCAAAGTGACCTCGCCGCCGTCAGTGCTCTTAACCACTCTCATCTACAGGCTTCAAAAGTGTTCGATTCGGTGATCGCAGACGGGCTGTCACCATCTGAACGATCTGAACTCCTCCAACTGCTGTACCAGTACCGAGAATCTTTCGATGTTGTTCAACCTTCACTTGGCCGCACTTCTACCACTCTACATTACATCGATACCGGCTCCCATGCGCCACTACGACAGCGACCATATCGTGTTTCTGTGACGGAACGCCAAGTTATTACCGAACAGGTGAACGATATGCTGCAACGTGGCGTCATTCAACCTTCCCAAAGTCCATGGGCCTCACCTGTAGTGCTCGTTAAAAAAAGGATGGTTCCGTTAGCTTCTGCGTGGATTACCGGCGCCTAAATAAGATCACTCGAAAAGACGTGTATCCTTTACCCAGGATTGACGATGCCCTTGATACTTTACAAGGTGCCGAGTTTTTTTCATCATTAGATTTGCGCTCAGGGTACTGGCAGGTCCCCCTTGCCGATGCTGATCGACCAAAAACAGCCTTCGTGACACCGGACGGTCTGTATGAGTTTAATGTCATGCCCTTCGACCTCTGCAATGCGCTTGCCACCTTCGAGCGCATGATGGACTCGGTTCTTCGGGGTTTGAAATGGCAAATCTGTCTCTGCTATCTCGACGATATGGTCGTCTTTGCGCCAGGCTTTGGAACACATCTCGAACGCCTCAAACACGTCCTCACGTGCCTGAAGAATGCTCAGCTCCAACTTAACCTCAAGAAGTGTCACTTCGCTGCTCGCCAACTTACGATTCTCGGGCACGTCGTATCAAAGGACGGTATACTTCCAGACCCGGCTAAGCTACGTGCTGTCGCCGGCTTCCCCAAACCAACGACTATGAAGCAGTTACGGAGCTTCGTGGGGTTATGCTCCTACTTTCGCCAATTCGTGCGCAACTTCGCCTCTATCATTGCGCCTTTGACCGAACTTATAGGCAGCACCACTGATATTTCGGCATGGTCTTCTGAGTGTGACCAAGCCTTCTGTACCCTTCGTCGTCTCCTCACTTCACCACCAATACTGCGTCACTACGATCCTACGGCAGCAACTGAGGTCCACACCGACGCCAGTGGTGTCGGCCTCGGTGCGGTTCTCGCGCAACGGAAGCCTGGATTCGCCGAGTATGTCGTCGCCTACGCCAGCAGAACTCTTACCAAGGCTGAATCAAACTACAGCGTCACCGAGAAGGAATGCTTGGCGATCGTTTGGGCGCTTGTCAAGTTCCGCCCATACCTTTATGGCCGTGCTTTTGATGTAGTAACGGACCACCACGCATTATGCTGGTTATCGTCGCTTAAGGACCCATCAGGTCGTCTTGCCCGTTGGGCTCTCCGGCTTCAAGAATATGACATTCGCGTGGTATATCGTTCCGGCCACAAGCATGCCGATGCTGATGCACTGTCACGATCTCCCCTATCCCCGGACATCGCATCTATTTCCTCGGACAACACGTTGTCAGCGCTTGACGAGGACACCATCTCTTCTGCACAACGTAATGACCCATGGATCGCTTCGCTTCTTGACACGTTATCCGAGGCACCGACACTTCCAACCACTCGAACCCTGCGCCGCCAGGCTCCGCACTTCAGTATTCGGGATGGCCTTTTGTACCGGCGCAACTATTCAGCAGATGGTAGGAAATGGCTACTAGTCATTCCCCGAACGCTGCGCTCTACCATCTGCGCGTCGTTTCATTCCGACCCGCAATGTGCTCACGCCGGTGTTTTCAAGACCTACGAGCGCCTACGAAAAAGGTATTACTGGCGCGGAATGTTTACCTTCGTCCGCCAATTCATTCGCGGCTGCCACGAATGTCAGCGGCGGAAAAGCCCGCCACATCCTGCAACAGGTTCATTGCACCCACTTCCATGCCCAGACCGCCCATTCGACCGTGTAGGAATTGACCTCTACGGACCACTACCATTAACAACGGCAGGCAACCGATGGGCTATCGTGGCAGTGGATCATCTAACACGGTACGCTGAAACTGCTGCTCTCCCCACAGCTGCAGCACAAGACGTCGCAACTTTCATACTCAATCGTTTTGTGCTTCGTCATGGTCCTCCTCGAGAACTCCTCAGTGACCGAGGGCGTGTTTTCCTCTCCGATGTAATACAAGCACTTCTTCAACAGTGCCATATGGTTCACCGGAAGAGTACAGCCTACCACCCACAGACGAATGGCTTGACTGAGCGGTTTAATCGTACTCTGGGGGACATGCTCGCTACGCATGTCGCTTCTGATCAAACAAACTGGGACCTTGTTCTCCCATTTTTGACATACGCGTATAACACCGCTACGCAAGTCACTACAGGGTTTTCCCCATTTTTTTTCCTGTACGGTCGCGAACCATCACACACCATCGACACTTTACTGCCATACTCGCCAGATCCCTCCGAATACAAGCCTGTCTCGGAAGCCGCTCGTTACGCAGAAGAGTGTCGCAAGCCAGCCAAGCGGCTTACTACATCCGACCAACAGCGCCAGAAGGAGATCCGTGGCGACGACCATCGTTCTGCACCAACGTTCGTTCCTGGAGCACTTGTATGGCTTCATGTACCGCCCTGCGCCCCTGGTGTATCACCCAAGCTACTCTCCAATTATCATGGTCCCTACCGCGCGGTCGAGCGTACTTCACCCGTGAACTACGCCATTGAACCCCTCACGCCACCGAGCGACCGTCATCGGCGTGGACGTGATATCGTTCACGTAAACCGTCTGAAGCCGTACTTTGACCCGCTTGTCCCCACGTGTTAGATCGCCAGGATGGCTTCAACTTTTTCGCCGGGGGTAATTGTAGTGAATAAGAAAGACGTTGATACCATCAGGTCAGCTATCATCAGCACAAGAAGGCACGAGATCGGCGATCAAGCACCGTCATCTGGGTTCGCCTGCGTTCCTTTAGAGCTACCACCCGCTTGCTCAGTCCTTCAATAAACCCCCTTTACATATATATATATATATATATATATATATATATATATATATATATATATATATATATATATATATATATATATATATATATATATATATTTATTTATTTATTTATTTATTTTTTATTCATTTATTTGTTCGGACAACAGGGATTTCACTCGCAACTGTGACCAGCTCCGTAAAGCATTAACCGAAACACAATATCCTTCACAAACAATTGACGACGCTCTCCAACGGGCCAAATGTCTCGATCGGAAAGAGTTCATCAGTAAAGACAAGCGATTAGCGCCACCTTCCCGAACCAACCTCGTTCTAACGCATTCTGCATCTATTCCTAACGTGTCGCATATACTCAGAAAGCATTACAACATACTGACACAGAGCGATCGGCTAAAGGACATCTTCACTGAATCACCGCGGGTTGTATATCGGAGATCAATGAACTTGCGCGACATGGTAACTTCTTCCAAGACTAGATTCATTGCTCCCGTTGGTTGTCACCCCTGTAAAAAAACGCGATGTAAAGTTTGTGCGCACATGACCACTGCAACTGTTGCTAAAAGCACGGCATCTAACTTTTCACTTAGGATTAAAGGGGACTTAAACTGCGATAGCAGCAACATCACTTACTTACTTGAATGCTCAATCTGCCACATGC